AATAGCTGAAGACATATCTTTAATTTTACCTACGGTGATGAAAATAATGCTAAATTGTTGAGAACCAATTACAAGCAGAATGGAACCTGTAGTGACTAGTGAGCCAAGTTGCCGATAATAAGGGCATAACTTTTGGGGATGTTTCTTTGCCATATGAATATGAACTGGGGAATTAAGTAGCAGGAACCCTAGTCAACAATCTAATAGCTTTACAGAATCTCCAAAGTGAAGATGGTACCGGTACTAAAAAAGTAGTAAGATATTTAGTATTACATAAAGAGATAAACAAGAAGTTTTGGATATTATTTATTTCAATGCTTTTATATGGGTCAATCTTTTGAAGTCTCATGTAACCTTTTTCGTTCTCGATTCATTGGTTTTGAGGATTTCTTTCTTGTTTGTTTGTTTTTTTTTTCCTTTTTGTAATCTCCGTAGCTTTATGTTGTAAGAGGACATTCAGCTCTCCTTTTAACTTTCTTTACCTCCTCTTTTTTCCTATCTAAAACAAACTTCTTTTTTTTTGTCGAAATATAATGTTACTGATTAATAATAAAAATCCAGATGTCCTACCTTGATGAATGGGACACACTTGAGGGAGACCATATCAATTCGATGTCGGGTGCATTGTTAGATCTAGAGGCCAGCACTCTCCGAATTCCAGTAACTGCAGGGGTAACGGTATGTTAGGTTGTAAAAGTTTGTCACATTTGAAATATTTGATTATCGAATTCGTTTCGGCCTCTTTAGTAGATTTCTACTTCTGCAGGCAGATGTTGAATCATTGAAAGGTGCTATCTGCTCAGCTCTTGACGTGATGCAAGTAATGGCATCCTCCATATGCTCCTTGCTTTCAAAGGTGAGGTTTTAACCGATTCTTCTAAGTTGTAAATGATAATTTATTTAGTTCATCTCTTGATCCGTTTACTTATTTGGTAATATGACACTTTTTATTGGATTATCAATTTATAAATGGGTCTCAGGAAAATTAATAATCCTTGTAGATATGAAATTTGGAAGAAAACTATAATATTTAACTGTCACGTTAACTTGACTAAACAAAACCTTCAGAGACTGTAGAGTTCATGATTGTTTTGCCATATGAATCCTTCAGAAAATGTTGATTGGTACTTATCATCATTCATCATTTTGATACGTCTTACCAGTCATGTCCTGCTACTGGACTACTGAAGCAGTAGGCAGCCTGTTGGATTCTGATTATCTGTTGCGATCAGCAAATTGAGGCATCATTGGAAATGAATCATTGGGAGGAAATGCATGTATTTTAACAAATTTCCCTTGAGACGAACCTCGTATTAGGGGTGCCAACCAAAACTGAAAAAAACTTTAAAAGTATAAACAAAACCTATCAAGTGAAGTTGGTTCGAGTGATAACAAATATTAGTCTGTTCAGTTTCCTTAGAATTTAAAAATGGAAAATAATCATCAGTTTGGTTTTGATCGATTTCGGTTGGTTTTAGTTAGGTTGGGGCACTAAATTTCAGTTCATCTTAAATTGATAAGTTGGTTGGGCTTCGGTTTTGGCTAAAATCCTATGTGAACCGGACCAGTTACACCCTTCTTTACTCATATGTTGTTCAAACACTTGCTACACATACACAACATATCTTAGGCCCTAGATATCAGCATATGTTTGTCATCAAGGAAAACTTCATCTGATTCGTTTCAGTCATCTAATGATTTCCTTCAGTTGATGTGCTTTGTGAGAATGAGTTATTGTAGATTCCTCTTTGGTCCTTTGGTTTGAGCATGTTTTAGAGCCGTGCAGATTAACAGTTTGAGTTTCAAATAAATACCACTGTCTGGGACTTTGAGTTTCTAACAATAGCTATTCGGTGTCGTAGGTGGAGAGAATGAATGGGTTGGTTTCGGAACTTGCGGTCCTCGCTTCACGAGAGAAGGCAATGATAGATGAATGTGAATCACTGCTGGCTTCAACAACGGCAGTGCAGGTGAGAACAATATTTTCCTGCTCTTTCAATTAGGATGGCCAAATGTCACAACACAAGTATCACTTGAAATTACTGCACAAGCAAAAATCTTAATCTGAATTATAATTTTGCATGAGAATAGGAATTCATTGTGAAATAACGTATGGACTCACACCTGATAAATAATTCACCTCTTTGAAAGCTAATATATGAAACTTTTTTGGTTGATGAAAGGCAACAATTTTTTTTTTTTTTAGTCAGAACCATGTTTTCAAATTACTCATGCGTAATTGTCGTGAAAGTTTTATTGAATGGAAATTCATCAACCAATATCCTTTATCAAGCATGTTTATCAAAAGCCATAAATAGAGTGGATATCGAGTTCAAGGAACAAAGTGTTGTTTGGCAATTATTCCTCGAAAACAGTTTTTGGTTTTTAAAATAGTTTTTAAAGCAATTTTCTTGATAACTTGTGAAAGTAATCATTATTATGCATTTGGAATCTCATAACTTCAGAAGATATCTCATCTGTGTTTATCTTTATATATGACCAAAGTAACGACTCAGGGCTGTTTGGAAATGTTATGAAAACAGTTCTCTCGAGATTTGAAGTGTGCTGACTTTTCTCTGTATTCTTAGCATCAACGGGCGATTTTTCCTCTCTCTTTAAATCACTGTTCTTCCTATAGTTGTTTTCTCATAATTTTGTTCATAGACGACCTATCGTTTTAGAATATTCTTTATTTTTACCAATCATTCAAAAAATAAGCTGCTTTGAAAACAAAACAAGAAAACTGTCTTTGGAAACAATTGCCAAACAACCCATATTATTTATCCTCCAAAAAACTCCTCTCCATCAGGTTTAATACTTCGATGTTGGTTTCTAATTTTTTCTGTAATTATCAACTCGGTATTATTCTTTTGGATTGGAGTCTCCTTCATTAGTTGGACCTCCTTTCGTTGGACTGTTTTTTCTGAATGCTCTTTGTGTAGTTTGCCGTTTTTCATTTCTCTTAATGAAAAGCTCGATTCCTCATCAATGCAAAAAACATTTGGCATGGTTTCCTTTACAATGTGTATATTTAGATTTTGATGTTTTACTTGTGTATTGTGAGACAGGTAGAAGAGTACAGTCTTAGGACACATCTCATACAAATGAAACAAGCTTTGGAAAACACAACTCTAAATCTTCTTCCCCATCATTACAGCTTCAACTACAACTACAACTACAACACCACTTTCATAACCCCTCACCAACCAAGCTAACAAATCATACTTCCAAAAAATGCCACTTGTATTTGCTTCCTCCATCATAAATGTAAATTTGATTATTTATTTATTTATATATATATACACACACATCATATATATGGAAAGGAAATGCAGAAAGTTCCAAAGGCTTCCAAAAAGAATGTCAATGAAAATGGAAGTAGAAATTCTTCCATTTGTATGAGTTGGGGTAATTTATTTTCTTTTCTGTTATTTTTGGGTTATTTAATTGGTTAAGTTATGAATTTGTTTGGAACTTTGGTACTAATTTAGGGTCTCTATTGTCTAAAGAGTTTCAGTTTGGTTTTTGTGAATTAGTCGTATCTTAGTAATTGTTTTGTGTTGTTACCCCATTGAAAATATAACAATTTAGTTTATTTAATTACATAGGTAATGAGTTAATGTTATTTATTTGGTTGACTTTGTTAGTGGATAATACCAGGGTTAAGACTGAGTTGATGTTAGGTGGGTAAATAATAGTTTAGAGATAATTTGTCAGGTTCTAACACAATTGAAAGTAACTCGAAACCATGAGAATTAGATTAAAATATTTAAAACCAGAAGGACCCAATTGATATCAAGTATGAACTAAAAAAACCAAATTTGTAATTTAACCTATTTAATTTAAATGACTTATTATCGATAAAATAAATAAAATGACCTATTTAAATTTAAATGACTTATTATCGATCTTAATAAGTCATAAATTAAATAGGTTAAATTACAAATTTGTGTTACCGACCTATTTAAATTTGTAATTTAACCCATCTTTCATTAGATTTGGATCAAATAAATAAAGTAACTTCCAAAGCTCCGCTCCTCACCTGTATAGCTAAAAATCTTGTGTACATTTATAGCTTGTTATCTTTATTCAACCACCCATTTATAATCACAAATCTAATTTCATATATCTATCGATAATAAGTCATGTTTTGTTTCACAGATTTGTAATGAAAGATCGGTAAGACAAACCAGTCCTCGAGCATCAAATAATAACATGAGTATAACTCGAAGTATATAACTTTTTTCCTTGAGATGAGAGGTTAGATTTTTATCTCCCATATTTGTTGTACTAGGTAAAAAATGAGTAAAGAAGATAAATAGTCTTTTTCAAAGGTCCATTATGAAATGTGACCCCTCTCCTCTGTTTAGTAAACATTTGCTAACATCAATTTTTCATTTTTTCTTCGATTTATTACTTTCTCCTCCCTTTGGCTCTCCTCTTTTCTCTCTATTTGGCTACAAATTCTCTCTTTCTTGAAAAATCCAACACCAACTTTCTCTATCTTCTTTACGCCGCCTCTTCCCATTCCCATTCTTTTTTCTTCACATTCTCGGAAAACACCAGCAACAAACGGCTCCATTTATGATTTTTTTCTAATGAGAGACATACGTCGGGAGCGAGAGCGAGAGGGGCGAGAGCAGGGGAGTGAGAGGGGGGGAGAGCGGGAGCGAGAGGGGCGAGAACGGGAGCGAGAGCTTTTTTTTGTGTGTTCTGTTTTTTTCTTTTTTATTTGGGGGGTTTACGTGAACTCGTTATTCTTGGTGTTCTTTGTTGAGTTTTTACCTCTGTTTTAGGTGTGACCCCGTTGTTTTGTGCTGTGTATTTATTATTTTGTTTTTTGAATTTTAAGGTCCAAAAATGGAGTCAAGATTGAGAGGGGATGAATGAAAAATAAGGGAGGGAGGGAAGAGAGAGAAGTGCACACCTTCAAAATCAAAACAAAAAAATCCAAAATAAAGGAAAACAAAAAATCAAATGAGATGCGTTGTAGAAAAAAATGGAAGAAAGAGAGAGGGAGAGAGAGGAGGGCAACAAAATGTGATAGTGAAAAAAAAAATTAAATCACAACCAGAGGAAAAGGATCCGCAGGGAAATGGAAGAATGAAGAAGAAAGAAAGAGAGAATTAAGAGGAAGATGAAAGATTAGAGAAAATGAGAGATAAAATAAGAAGAGATAATTTGTAATTTCATGCAAAAATGACATAAACAAATTGTTAGAAAATATAAAATTTGGAGGTGGTGATACATTTTATAGTCTTGCAAAAGATATATGGAAGGCTTTTGGAGGTTGTTTATGTCTAAACACATTTTTAAAAATAAAATGAAATTAAGAAACATGAACAATTATAAAAATGAGAAACTTCAATAAATAATTTTAGAACTTTTATTTTGGCGTATTGATAATTTGTCAACAGTGTTTAAAAAAGCATTTATTTCTATTCTCGTTATAATGATGATAAGGAAGTAGAAAATGAGCTATAACAAAAGGCAACTAAAATGATTTTTCCGAAAAAAAAAATTAATAATAATAGAGTCCACTCCACAGTCCAAAATTATTGTGGATAAGATTTTTAATTTTCTTTTTCAATTTCTTGAAAAATTTTGGCCAAACTTCCACCATTCCACTGCCCCTTCAACAGCTCAAAGCTATGGCTGGGCTCACCAGCAGATTCCCTTTCAAACCTCTCTTATCCCAATCCTCCGCCACCACCTCCTCCGCCGCCGCCTCCTCTTCCTCCTCCGCCGCCGCCGCTCCTCCCTTCCGAACCTCAATTTCCCCTCTCCCTCTCTCCTCCTCTGAATCCAATGCCTTCGGATTCCGCCTTCACAACTCCAATTCTCTGCGTCTTATCGTCTCCTCTCCAATTCGTCGCTCTGTATTTGCTCGATTCGGCGGTGCTCCTCGATCTTCAGGACCTGCGGATTCTAAGCGCTCCGACGATGATTTTGGTCTCGATGTTTCCGCCATCAGGTGCGTGCCTTATGGTTCTGTATGTGTACTTGCACGAGTTACGTGTATGGTGTATGAAGCTTGTTTTTGATTTGGAGTTCTTATTTGCGATTGATTGGTATAGGTCAAATAATGTGAGACTTATTGATGCACAACAGAACATGGTAGGTGTTTTTAATTATTGTTTGTTTGTTTTGTCTGGATGGGTTGTGTTTGGGATAAACGAGTTTTTTGGGTTTCTTTTGCTACAATGCAACACCTGTATGCCAGGCGCCGTAATTTGGAAGTTGTTCTTGAAATGAATAGGTTGGAATCGTGTCAAAGGCCCAGGCCATTCAAATGGCTGAAGACGCTGAACTTGATTTGGTACGTCTTCCTGTTCAATTTTTTGTTGAAACAGTTTTCTATTCTTTGTCAGGGAATTCCAAGGAACCTTGCTCCAAATTTTTATGGTCTGACAATGACAAATTGCATTGTTAATCTTTCTTGGTCGTCTGAATTCTGGATTTTGTTTGCTTAATGTCACTCAGTTTTTGGTTTTTATCTTCAATACAATTGTTCTGTGTAGAAAAAATGAGCATATAATTGAAAGCTTATAATAGTATTATAATCAAAGAATTATATTATAACTTATAAGTTACAAGTCTTCCATCAAAAACTCGAAGAATTATTGCATGGTGAATGATTTTCATTTGAGAGTTATGCATTAGGTAGGCCAATTTTACTGTTTGCTCCTATATATAATTGTACTTTTCTCCATAAATCGTCAAAAGAACCTTCTATTCTTCAACACAAATCTTATCGACTGAAAATTTACATGGACGAAAGCTGGGCGATGTGTTGTTATTTAGATATGAAGGAAGAAACTTCATTCTTCATGCGAGTTCTTAACAAAATACTCTTTCAGAAATCAACAAGTTAGTTGTCTTGCATACTCAAGTTTGGCTTGTGGAATTTATGAAGCTCATTTCATATCCGTGCAATTTGTACTTCTTAAGCTGGATAAAGAAAGTTGGACTAATATTTTTTTTTATGGAAGTTAGATATTTGTGTTGCTTTGTCTAGGAGTTTGCTAATTCGTTTCTATTTCATGCAGGTTGTATTATCACCCGATGCAGATCCTCCAGTTGTCAGAATAATGGATTACAAGTATGCCATTTTCTCTCTCTGGTGTCCTCCCTTTCCTTGTTGTGCTTGTGGAAAAGGTTTCATTTGCTGCAATCCAATGCCAATGTGATTAGTTTTAATGATTATGCAAATTCATATAATAAGCTTCTTCTGGTAATGATTCAATTAATACTTTATTTTTAATTAAATGTTACCTAAAAGGTAATATATGACAATGCTAAGAAGACCGAAATGTGGTATAATGGAGAAAGAATGAAAAATATGATGATCGTTATTCTTCCACTGGGTGAATTAAAAGCCCATGTGGTTTTTCCTTACTGAATTGTTGGTACCTTTATGCTGAGCTATTCTTCCGTCTCTTGTTTCTCAGTAAATATAGGTATGAATTGCAAAAGAAGAAAAGAGGACAGCAGAAGAAAAGTGCTGGTGAATCTCTTTCTTAATAGAGTCTGCATGTTTTCTTTGGTTCCCAAATCTTTCAGATTTGAGGAAAGATACTGATAAAGTGTGCTTTTGAATGTTAGCAACTCGCATGGATTTGAAAGAGCTTAAAATGGGGTAACACATTCCTTCATTTGTTCATATTTATTTTTTCGAAGGCTTCCTTTCTCTTCTTCTTATTCACCTAAAGCCACTCGTACTTGTGACTTCTATGATCGATAATCTACCGACCAATCAACAAGCTAAGAGAGGCTTTGGTTCCTTTGCTTTTTAATTTATGTTACCTATTTCAGAAACATTTTTGTACATTATCCTTTCCTCAATCTCAACCTGTTTGTTGATATTATTATTGCACAGTTATAACATTGACCAACATGATTACTCTGTTCGTTTGAAAGCTGCAAGGAGGTTTTTGAAGGATGGGGACAAGGTTTTATTTTTTATTTAACTATATCTATGTGTGTGTATATATATGTATATATATATATATATATATTGTCTGTCCATGTATTCAAATATGATTTTTATGGTTTGTCCGAATCACTTTCTGAAATATATTAACAAAATATTGCAGGTTAAAGTTATAGTGAACTTGAAAGGTCGTGAGAATGAGTTCAGAAATATAGCAATTGAGCTCATCAGACGTTTCCAGGATGAGATTGGGGAGGTATTCTTATTTTCTATCAATTTTGTGCCATGATCGATCTCCTGACTTAGAGCAGTTTTTGTCCATTATGGCAAATATTAGAGCAAAACTTTTTTTTTTGGGTAAGAAACGATCATTTCATTGATGAATGAAATTACAAAAGAAGCATCCCCGAAATGGAATATGCTGACTTTTCGAAACGATGATTTCATCCTGACTTTCTTTTTGATGTCATATGTGTTAGAGCAAAACATATTGCCCATCATGGTAGTATACTCAATAACATGCTACAAAACTTTTCAGAGTTTGAAATTTGAAATGGTAATTTTAGGCAATTGTTTGAACTATTTTTATGTTTGATCTCATTACCCCGTGATAAGCACTTGGTAGTTGTTCCAGAAATGGTTATGGCAAACAGTTTCTGAAGACTTTTATAGAACACTTGTTTAAAATAATTGTGAATGCTCGGCTAACTTACGTGAATCTCGACTAATCTCACAAAATAATCTACTTGTTCCTGTGATATTAGATGTTGGAAAATCGAACTCATTTCTCAAGAGTACTTCTGTGTTTTCACTTGCTCCAATGAGCATTAAGCCAATTCATGGTAGTTTAATTGAAAGGTTTTTGAAAAATGCTTGTTTGTATTTGTGAAGTTTTTTCTTATTTGGATTCGATAATCTCTCTGAAATGCTAGTTTATTTGATGAATGAAAATTTGATGCCATCTTTTTTCCTCTGGTTAATATGTTAAACAAAGACAATCTATCGTATATTAATCTCTGTTCTCCCATGACCCGCTCAATATTTTATGATACCACAGCTTGCAACTGAAGAGGCCAAGAACTTCAGAGACAGGAATATATTTATTGTTCTAGTTCCTAACAAGGCTGTTCTACAGAAGGCTCAAGAACCCCCCAAGAAAAAGGACAATCCCGCCATAAATGAAGTTTCGGCTGGTGTTTAAGCTCGGAAAGCGTCGAGCTTGTGCCTAAAATAGAACGGTTAGTCGCAACAACCTTAGTCTTCTTTATCATAGAGAAATCAGAGAGGTTAATGTATAATGTTTTGTTTAATCTTATGAATCAGACTGTTGTTCATCTTATTTATTTAGTGGAATGCTTAGAAATCAGAGTTGTTGTTACTAATCCTTTTGAAAACTTGAACTTTTGTAGCATCAGTTTTTCTGGGTAGGGAATGGAGATGTTATTTTCTCCGCGGGGACGCCCATAACAGGGCGAGCTTCCGTGAGGCGGCAGTGAGGGACATTGTCCTTGTCACCTAAATGCGGACGGGCAATACGTACTCTATCCCGCCCCATTCTTGATGTTGTTGACATTTTATCAATATTTCTTGACATCTATATTTTACCCTTTGTCGACAATATTTTCTTAATAAGACGATATTTTACCCTTCGTTGAGGTGTCGAACCCTCTGACATCAATGTTGCTTGACATTTTAAACACCACTTATAAATCAATCTAAATTTTAAATAAATAAATAATATGTATATATATGTATATTTTAACCGCGAGCTTAAACTCATCTTTTACTTAGTGGACACTTTCACATGAATTATTTATTTATTTGCCTACATTTAATGTTACAGATCTTCAACCTTCTATTCTTGTGTCTTTAGCTATAGAAATGGCACCAACAAAAAATATATATATAAAAAAAATTTAATTATGACTTAAATAAAATTTGAAATATATTTGCCGCGGGCGTGGTTCTATCGATTATCGATGGTTTTCTCTTCACTCCATGCACTTGTAATTTTGACTCAGGTTTTCTCTTCACTCCATGCACTTGTAATTTTGATTCACTTGCATGCTTGGAGAAATAGATGTTTACAAATCTGGCTCGAGGACCACTCACCCTAGATCAATAGTGTTGTCACCAAATATGCAGTTTTTATTTAATTTATTTCGTCATGATTTTTTTTGTTTGTATTCAGGAAAAAAGAAAGAGTTGCTTTACTCAAATTCTATCTGATTATTCTAATTTACTTTACTCAAATTCTATTGGTCAACAATTATTATCGTTTACTCCAATAAATATTTAAATAAATTATCAATACAAAATCTTGATTATTTTTTTAGTACAACATTAGTAGTGAAGTATTCTCATGACCAAAATGTTGATTAATAATTACCATAGTTTACCGTAACCACATGTGGAGTGGAAAATCGAATTCACGACTTTTTAGTATCTTAACTCGTTAAAATCTATATAAATTTGATGATGGGACAAAATAAAATAATTAATTACTATTGTCGGTTAATGAATCTTTAAAAAAAAATGCATGGTCCGCTTTTTCTTAAAAGAAAATGTTGTAATGTAATTTACAATTATTTGATAAAAGAAATATATTCACAAATATTTTAGAGAATCAGGCTACCTACAAACAAAATTTCGGAGGATCTGCAAAATTAGATCTAACATATTATTTTTTTCTTTAACATGTTTCAGTTATTTTTTAAAACTTCAAAAAGAAAAAATCCAAAATTATTTTATAAAAAAGGCGGGAACTTCAAAACGGCGTTTTACCGTCAGAACTTGGAAGCGGCCCTATAAATACGGAATTCTTCACTAACGCGCGTCATTTCGTGTTCTTTCACCGGAAATGTCCGTCGCCGATGGAGGGAGCCAAATTCCGGCGCCAATCGATGATCAGTCTCTCAAGCTTGCCATAGCCATTTCTCTTCTCCGATCCAAGGTCATTCAGAAGCAGCAGCATACTGTCTCGAATCCTCCCTCCGATTCCGACGCTCTCCGATGGAAGCGAAAGGTCTCGCTATATATATGCATGTTCTTTTTTGTTTTTCTGGTTTCTGCTATTTTCGTCTTCTATCGGCGAAGTCTAATGGAAGATCAGCGGGAGTTTTAGGCTAAGGAGAGGAAGCAAGAGCTTATTAGGCTTAGAGAAGATCTCAAACAAGCTGAAGGTCTGTGTGTAAGAATCTCCTTATCTTCCTTCTCTCTGTCTCTGAAAATTATCGTGATTCGTTATGATGTTTTTGTTTTAGATCCTTCGCATGGAGATTTGTTTTCTCAAAATGCCACTTGCAAGTGTTTTTTCTTTGATAATCTGGGGAAATTTAACCCTAAGCAGCTCGAAGATTGTACTGATAACAGGTTTAATGACGTATTACGCCGGAGATTTCTCAGACAAGGTATTTTCCTCGCCCATTTCTTCTTCGCTTGCTTGTTTTTATCCAAAATTTGACATCGTTTGAAAAAAAAAATGCTGAAACAGTGCGTTATAGGGAACGGAGGAGAAAATCAGACAGTTCAATTAATCGGAAGCGACTTTTAGGTACACTATTACTTGCCAGAGACGTTGCTTCTCCTAAAATATGTTCTTTTAAACGCCATTACATTGATGACATCGGTAGTCGATTTTATTAATGCATCAAAGCATATATATAAAGTAATTTGAAAATTTTGGGGATCAGACATGGAATGCTCCATGTCCATCCCTAAATGTAAATCGTAGAACAAAAAATTTCCACCCTTGATTAAATCACGAATCCCACCTTATTTGAGGCAGGTCCTGACAGAAAAGGTCATCTGCTTCATGTAAAATATTGTTCTGTTTTAAACTATATAATGGGAAATTCAGTTGCGGAGGAACATACATGAGTCTGTCTGTCTCGCTCAACTTTATTTTGCTCTTTTCTGTTCTAATTTCAGACTTCAATGAAGTTGATGAAGTTGAGCATCTCCGAGCTTCGGTTGATTTTCTTGTAGAGCTTTGCGACACTTTTTCTCCAGTATGATAATGGCATTTCTGTTATCGGATTTATTTTTGTTATTCTAGTTTTTCTATTTGTAAGAATTAGAGCAGTTGTTCTCATTATTCTCATACTACTTGTATTTTGTTTCCAGATTGATTTTAACACAATGCTTCGTTTTCTTGATTTTATTCTGTACAGGTAGGGGAGGCCAACTTTAAAAATTGGGCTCATCAAGCTGTTGATTTCATTCTAGGTGATGATTCGTTTGATTGCCGCATCAATGTTTGGTTAATTAATCATATAAAGGAGTACAGTGGTCAAACCCTTTGATAGATTTTGATGAAGTTTGATGGATCTGATAGATTTTTTTGAATAAAAAATAACTAATTAACGACTTGGTGAATCAGAAAATTATATTTTCAGCTCAAATAAATGATTTACTCGAACCAATACAACTTATTCAAAGTTATTAATTATTCGCTCTTCAGTGTGCATTATGACCCTTTTTCTTATATATTTATTTATTGTTTTCCTGAAGCTTCATTGAAGGATCTTCTACCTAGGAAAAGGAGCCTGGAACCTATTGAAGGCATTATTAGCAGCTTGATAATGCGTTTAATTAGAAGGATGTGCTCTCCCCTGAAAGATGGTAAATTCGGTTTACTTCTTTATTACTTGATACTGTAACTAAACCTCTTCTCATAGGATCACTTCATATTATATTCACCATTCAGAATGTTTCAATGACGCGAACATGAATTTGGCGTACATTCTTTTTCCCAATTATTGTGCCATTTGGTATATTCATTCTTCTCTGTTCGTACCTTCTTGCTTCAGACTCGGGAGACTCTGACTCCGATGTCCGGTTCTATACACAGCAGTTATTCCGCGAGCTTGGACGTGAGCCCTACATTGGACAACGTGCAATCATTTCCGTGTCACAAAGAATTTCTGCAGTGGGAGAGAGTTTTCTCTTCATGGATCCATTCGATGACAATTTTCCCAGTTTACATGAATGCTTGTTCATAATGTAAGTACTCGGCAAAATGTTTTAAATTTGTTCTGCTACCGGGCGCTCGTATGTGGTTCAAATTTATCTCAATGTTGCTGCTTTCGAAGGCATAGTCAGTTAATGGTGCTGTTTGTATAACGTAGGTAGTAGTAGGAAAATCTAAGTATAAATAACTTTCTAATGGATTTTATAGAAAAATGATTTACACATTCTGAACTTATAAGTTGTATTTAATTAAATTAATATAACTTGTATCTATTTTGTAGGTTATGTAGTCTGAAAGATTTTGATTGGCAAGCCTCTAATGGATTTGTGTCCTCATTGCACCATGGCTTAACATCGTTTTATGGTGAGCAGGATTCAACTTGTTGAGTTTCTGTTATCGGACTACTTACCAATGTGGTCAGGGGACAAAAACTTCGACAATCGTAAGCATTGTTCTTCCTTACTTTAAACTACCACACTATTGTCTGTTCTTCCTTCGTTCAATTACTTCTTCCTTTCAAAATTAATGGCGAGTGGAGTACGATTCTTGAAAATAAGCACCCATTTGGGATGTTGGGTCCTTATTATATCACAATTTGAATTTATAAATTCAACTTGCAGTTCTCTTGGAAGAATTGGTGATATCCATTCTCCACGCAAAGAAAGCTTTAGAACTCTTGGAAAGCAGAAATGGAGTGTACGTGCTGTACGTGGACCGTGTCGCCGGTGAGTTGGCTAATCAAATAAGCAACATTCCGAGACTCCGGGAGCTCAAACCAGATGTTCTTGACGACCTTATTCATTGATTTTAAGCTAGCCAGTTCAGGTTTGTAAAACTCTTCTCCGGTAACTTTTTTCTAAGCTACGTTATTAGTCTGCCCGTTAATTTTGATCCTGTACAATCAGAAATTAGTCGAGGATTATTACATATAGAAAGTAAAAATTTTGGGATAAATTGACTTCATCATATTTTAAATTCTAAGATTTATTCATTCATTGGACTAAAAAAGTTACCAGAGCTAAATAAAAATTTATTGAGGCCGACCTACCCTCCCACTGATAAAAAAAAGTATTTTTAATGAACAACTAGGATTTAATAACTCATTTAGTTATGCCAACATGAACTTAGTTCAGTGTTAATTGACACTAACAATTGTCTTTGATCAAAAGGTTACGAGTTCGAATCTTGTACTAAAAAATAAAAGACTCATTTAGTAACGTTATTGTTACTTATGTTTTTCAAAATTGAAAACTGGAAACAAAAACTAGGTCGTTATTAAATCGTGTGGAGTGTTATAAAAATTTAAAAAGTATCTTTAACCAAAACTTCATAACTCAAAATCTATAGACCAACGATGTGGATGGAAAGGCATAACTAGAGGTTCAGAGGAAAAAAAGGAAAAGGTTCCCACAAATTTGGAAACAATAACACAAAGATATATACAAGGTTGAACCTGAAACACACAAGCTGTTAATTATAAGTTATACAAATCTGGTACAACATCAATCCACCATACAAGTTCAAACACAACTAACAGATCTGTTATGAAACATAAACAGCCAAATTATGGGGAAGAACTGTACAACTTAGAAGAACAACTCTGATCTTGGTTCTTAAGTGCAGTGGTACATAAACCCTGCATCTGACAGTTACCTCGATCAAATTCGGAAAACATCCGTTTGGAACCTCTCGTCATACAGCCTCCAATGACCATACCTCTCTGTGTGAAAGACCGACCTCGGTATATAGAAATTTGGTTTCCTAATCTCCAAATTCTCCAGACTTGTAGTAGCATTCGCTATATTGCGGCTTGTCAAGTTCACACACCCAAACAGATCCAAGTACTTGAGGTTTGGACATCCTTCACAGATCAAACTAAGGGCTTTAGCTGTTAGTTTAGAGAAACAGAGTTCAAGGTGCTCCAAGTTGGGCATGAACTTTGCAATAGCTGCAGCTTCTGAATCCACATCTTGAGGGCAGGCATTTAGATAATCTTCGGGGACAATTCCCGTGTGTTGGGAAGGATCTAGAGTGTTGAAAAAGTTCCGTTTTAGAGTCTTTATATTTGGACAATGCCTGCCGATTAACGCCAAAGATTCGTGGGAGATTTCATAACAGTAGCTGATGTCGACTTCCCGGAGCTTTTGGCAACCAAGAGCAATCTTAGCCATTGATTTATCTGTAACATTGGGGCAGCTCTTGATGGAAAGAACCTCAAGGTTTGGGCACCTAAAATCCATCAATTTCCCTTTTGTGAGCGATCAAACTCGTTTACACACACCTCAACTAATCCCACCAAATAGATGCAAAGATCGAGGACACAAAATAATAGCTAAACCAGAGGGAACCAAGTTCCCTTTGAACCACTGAATCAAATTAGAGTATGTAATACTCAGACCCATATGAAGGGCTAAAAGTTCATACAAGATTTACAATCAAACACATTTCAAAACTATCAAAATAGCCCCATCATTCTCATAACAATTTCATTGAATTTGTTATGTGAACCTACTTTTGAAACTTTTTTTTTAATATAATTACGTCTAGAAAGATTAGAAAGGTAGGAAAATTCGAATAGTAACAACAAAAGTATGGTAGTTTTACAAGTAAATCATGTCTAGAAGAGAGGAAAGACACAATTTTCAACAAATTATTGTTTAGAAGACATGATTTTGATAGTATAGAATACTGTAAATTGCGATTACAGATCTAATAGATCAAAAACTATCACAAATCAAAATTCACAAGCTATATAAAAAACTGTGTTTCCTGAGTGAAAAGAAAGAATAGATAAGAGAATTATAATAGAATTAAAAATTAATTACCTTTGAGGGACGAGATGAAGGGAGAGATCGGAGCAGTGTCTGATCCGAATAAGGGAGAGAGATCCATGGCTCCAATCGAGGACCGATCGGAGCATGGAATCGATTTTGGTCTGGAACTCGGGCGACCACCAGGCCGGTGACTCGGTGGGCGCCGAGTCGAATCGGGGTTCGAGGTCGAACTCGGAGAAGAGAGAGGAGTAAGTGGCGGCGCGGAACCAGAGCTTGCAGACGAGCATGGGGCCGCGCCACCGCTGCTCCACGCTCAGCCGCGACACGATGTTGGTCAGGCACTCGTGCGTCAGCTCGGCCCACGCCGGCGACGCTGATTCCGACGGATCTGTCATTCTTATGGAGATTTGATCGGCGGAGACCGTTTAAGGGTTGTGTTTCTGTTTCCTCAGGATGAAGATGCGCGCCTTTTGAAGGCTTAGTATGTCCATGGGAAATGGGAATGGAAACTCATTTTTCTACCATTACTTTTTTTTTCTTGGTTTTTAAGTTTTCAAAGACTTTCTGCTGATGTCATATGGTCTTGAACAAAATTACGTTTCTACCCTTTTTCTTTTTTCAATTTAGATTCTTGCTTCTGGGTTTTGTTTGAATGGGTTGCTTTTCCTCTATATTTCGCTGTTTTTGCATATTGGGCAACGAATTGTAGGTTTTGAGAGAGTGTATAAAAAAAAATGGTAAAAAATGGTTTTCTGAGTTGAGGAAGGACATTTTAGATTGTTGAGATTTTGATTCAATGAACTGGTTAATTGAGTTGAATATTGGAGAACATTAAGTCCTGGTTTAATTGTTTTCCTTCGATTTAATTGTTTCATCTCGTATATGGTTCATTATGGATACCCTTCCACACTACTTTCATGCCAAATTAACATGTGTAGTACATGTACAAAGAATCATGGAGAACAGTAAGTCCTGATTGACCCCAACCAAACTAAAAATGTTTAGAACATGTTTTGATCCTCTCTTAGATGTTCAAATCATATTTAACTGTCAACTAATACACCACTGCTTATTAAGGGTGTTGAAGGATGGCAGAGAATGTCATTCTTGATGGAAAAACTTCCTATAGTACTTTGTACTATCAGTAGATTTACTGTTTGAATCTAGAATTTTTATATTTGAATAAGGAGTGGGTCGCTTATATGGCCCCTTAGATTGTAAAAATGTTTTGCTTAGTTGGTTTAGACTACATGCTATTGTTACTTTTGTGTGTTTTTCTTTTTGGGATTTTGAAGAAAATTTGGACCAATGACCATAAAAGAGAAGACATAGGCTTTTTAATCAAATATTGTACAACATTATCTTAGTACAATATAATAGATGTGAAGGTGTAAATTTGAATCTTCGGCTTCAAGAAAATATGTTGATGTCTTAATCGCCGAGTCCAAGCTAACCTTATTGAAATTGATTGGTACAACTAAATTCACTTTTTTTATGAATCTACATCTAACCAAACAATAGCCTAATATTTCTTTTGAATATTAGACTAAGATTCCATTCTTAACAAGACGAGAGGGGGGAAAATCTTTTGGTATTGAATTAGTATTTGCTATATTTGAGAGTGGGCTCCTCATGGTGAAAAGCACTTTTATTAGTGTTCGAATCACTTGAATCATCACGTTTAATGTGAACTAAAAATATTTTTGAATAAAGTCAAAAGCACCAGTAGAATATTCTTTATCCAAATACTTAATTGAAAAGCACTTTCAAATGTGCACAACGAAACATTAAAGTAGTTTTTCATTTAGCACTTTTACTAAATTGTATTATGTAGATATAGCAAAAAAATTAATAGGTACTTGCAAATGTAGAAACAATTTTTTTAAATTGCAAGTATAACAAAAAATAAAGGTTTACTTCATTTCAGATACAACATAGATATACCAAATTATAGTTTATCTAAAATATTGTAAAAATTTCTATCAAATTAAAAAGTCACTGATATAGGAATATAAATAAATACAAATAATAAGACGCTAACATTTACTAATAAATTATAATAATGAGATCTAACTAGTCACTTTAACTCAATGGATAAGACATTAATTATCAAGATTGAATATTTGCTCTCTCATCATGCCTACATTCATTTAGTTAAAAATTAAATTAAACTAAAAATTCTGGCAGTAATATAATTCAATCAACTAATGCATTAGTAAACGTTAAAACAAATAACAATAACTAATAATAAGCACAACCAATCTAAAAAAGAACTAATAATAAGATTATATCCTGTCAAATGGATCAAAGTACTTATTTCCAATTAAAAACCCATTTGAATCTCCACAATAAATATATATATATATATATATATATAAAAGATTTATATCTAATTTTAATAATATAAAATACATATTTATGTCTCCATCAATATTGTATTGTACTTGTCGACACCATCTTATAGATATATTTCTGTGATACCATTAAAAACTGACACCTTGACCATTTCCATCCACATCAAATACATTTCTAATCCGTAACCCAGAACCGAACGCCATTGCCGACATCTACAGAACTTGAGAGTTCTAAGTTCTCAGTTCTCGCAACAAATTTAATCCAAACTAACCAAAACACAGATTAAAGCCTCGAATCAAATCTACGTAGTAGATAGATCCAATCCAATCCAGTCCAAAAGCTACAGAGTACCAAATTGAAAAAAAAACCTTATTCGAAAATCTAAAAGTCAAGAAGAGTTTCAAGTTGGAGAGATTCAAACTGGTGCTACACCGCCGACACCGGCGCGTAGAGCGGACGCCTGTACTCGTCGAAGAACTGGTCGCGATCGACGAACACGATGGCGTAGAGAGCGTAGATGATCCCCGGAACGTAACCGAGCAGAGTCAGGATCAAACACAGGCAAAACTCCACCTGCAACAACAATAATTCCATTTCTGTTCAAAATTAGGCCGAAGCCGAAACCTAATTCCGATCGCCGCCGTCTGGTTTAGAGATCAGATCTCGGCGGCGGCTGTTTTAGGTCATCGGAAGGAATTAGTAATTAAGGAGATTTGAATTAGAATAAGAATTACCGTGCAGCAGCCGTGTTTTAGGCAGACTCCGAGGGGAGGAATGAGGATGGCGATGAGAATCTCGCAGCAGATCTCGCATCCGTTCGCCATTTTCGATCGCAGAGAGAAAACTGAGAGAGAGTTGTGGAAGACGAAGAAAGTGTTTGATCTGTGACTGTGAGGAGTTGTTATTATTTGTTCTTTTTTTCTCTTTTTGTTTTTATGAGAAATTGACTGTCCAATAGTCGTCTGCCACTCGTTATATCATTTATTATTATTATTTAAGTATAATAGTTTAATTTTCAATTTCTTCCCCTATAATATTTTTTTGTTTTCTTATTTTAAATATTATATCATAGACGTGTGAGTGGGGTTGACCTTGACCGTTCAATTTATTTCTTCTACTAATCAGCTACAATCGTTAAATTCGTGTTGGCAATTTTGGCTAAATTGTAATATTTATGATAAATTTAAGTTTTAAATTATTATTCTAATTTATTTATTTTAGTCATGTATTTGAAAATATACTTTTATTTTTTCATTTTATTTCATGTATTTTTAAAATATTTATTTTAGTTCTCATATTATTTTAAGTTCTTTCATTGTTATTTTTTCCCAAAAACAAAAAAAAAAAATTGCTACTATTTTGCCATTACTTATATACCTAATTACTAATAGGTGTATTAACATGCTAATGTGTGTGTATTTATTGGTGTGTTGGATGAAGTGGATATTAAATGAATTGATATTAAGCAGTAAAGTTAACGGTCAAAATGTTTTTCAAACTTTTAGACTGAAAAATGGTATCTTAGAAGCAAGGTTTAAAATATCAATGTCGACAGATATTTTGAAAAAAATCATGGAAATTGTGATATTTATGCAAAATTTTTAAATTAGTAAATAAAACTTTAATTATAGCTTAATTGCCTATAATTTATCCATATACTTATGGAAATGTTGTCGTGATGAAAATGTCACTACATACGTGAAAATTATTTAAATTAGTAAATTAAAGTTTAATGTTGCTTATATGTTTTATTGATAATTTCTAATCCAATCCAGTGTTTAGTTACATGATTGAACAAGATAGGTGTAATATAAATATATATAAAATGATGAAATAATCGTAAAAGAAAAAGACATTTTTTGAGATATTCAATTAGATGGTTTCAAATTTTTTTAAGTGTTTCACGAGAAGTTGCTAGTTTTCAAAAGATGCCCCACCTTTGATAACCTTAGCATTTTCCAATTTTGAAAGCCTTTCTACGGATCTCTGGATTTCCATTCCCATTTCCTCTTCCATCAATTATGATCATCATCTCCACCGTCGACCGACCCCATCAATTCTTTGGTCCCAATTTTCTACACTTTCCCGTTCCAAGTAGCGTTGATGATTTGTTGACCATAAATCTACCAATGCATCATTTGGCACTCCTGTTGCAATACTCTACATTGTAGTGAGAGTTTAAAATGTCGATTAAAAAAGATATACAATTAATTAATTTGTCAGTGAACTATCTTTTGAAAAAAAAAATGGTGGGTGGTAATTTAAAATAAAATAAATCTTCATGGAAAAGAATATTTTAAAATAAAATATTTAAATAAGAAGGAAAATTTGCTTGGCTGAGTTTAAATCCACCTTGAAGCATAGGAACGACAAATGCAATATTAAGTAAATAAATAATAAAATATTTAACCACAGTGCATCAGAAACCCACCTACAGCAGGGTGCACAATCTCATTCCTTGTTTCCTCTACTTGTTTGATCAATTTCATCGTCCCTCTGCCTTAACAATGTCGGATCTCAATACGCAGAGGAAAGCTTATGCTGTGTCGAAACAAACGGAAATCACAGATCTAGATAACTCAAGGACATCCTCTTTCCAGATTCCAACGAGGACAATAGAGGAGGAGGAATCTCCAAAAGAGAGAAAAAAAAAAAAGTATCTAACAATATTTTGTCGACATTTCGTTGACATGTACACGACAAGGAGGAAAAAAGATTTTTTCCCCTCGACACGTCGACATATCGGGCAACATATCGACTTGGGCCGACTCTTTTGGTACCCTGTTTTGAAGTTTAACAAAGTCAATCTAAATATAATTTTAACTAATTAATACACATATTTCCAACGTAAAAAAAAGTCATCCAAATATAATCTCTATATGTCCTTAAAAAAATAATTATATAAAAAAAWTTTGGGGTAATTTTGGAATTTTAGGTCAACCGACTGAGCAACAGAGCCCGAGGTGGCTTTATTTTTCTTTTATTTTTATTTTTCTGTTTGAAACCACAGAAGCAACTTGATTACTTAGACACGCAATAGAGCGGGCAGGGGCATTTTCGGTACGTCACATCTCCAAAGGTTTTTTCGTTCGCTTTTTTTTTTTTTTCAACGCCTCCATTGAGTTTTATCCGCTGTATTTAGATTTCCAGTTTATTATAAAGTCCTGCCGCTCGCTTCCATAATATTAATTTATTTTGAAAATTCGTGGAAATTTAAATTTTTATTTCTTGTATTAAAAAATTCTTCGTACAGATTTCAAAGATTCAAATTAATTTTGGTTTGGAATTGTATTGAATAATTTTTTTAGTACTGTAATGATAAAAGTTTTGCCATAATTATAATTATAGTACCAGAAATTATAATTACAGTACCAGAAATACAAATTAAACAATATGGTAATTTTACAAAAGAAAAAAATATATATATCATTGATAGAATCAATCACTAATATGTCTATAAAGATAGACGTAACGTAAATTAATAATAATGTCTTATCACCGAAAACATAAATTAGTTATAACATCTATCAATCACTTATAAAATTGAGATATGATTATAGATTTTTTTTCTTTTTAAGATAATTTGTAAATCTTTTAATTTATGTTAAATTTGTTATTATTTTAAACTAGATTGTTATGTGCCTTTACATGATATTTCACCTTATAAATTCAAATTTATTTATCTAGGTAGCATAAAATAAATATGATAGGAATTTGAAAGCTTAAAAAATGACATAATCCAAATCTACATATGATGATAGGTTAATATACTTTTTTTTTATAAAACAATATTTTGCAATGGCATTCGAATTCACGACAATAAATATAAAAGATATATTCTTTTTAAAAAGCTGAAATATAAGTAATGGTGTGTTTATGAGTAATGGTAGAAGAAGTGATCTTGAAAAAATAGATTTAAAATGATTGATTTTCCAAAATCACTATTAAATAATACCTTAAAAAACAATTTTAAATTATTTTGTATTTCTTGAAATCAAATTTTTAATTTGTCAAGGTAAATAGAAATGTCCCGAAAAAAACACCCTAGATCAGTAAATCTTTGTTAAGAGACCACAACAGAGTAAATTCAAAAGGACCATTCAAACAAAAAAAATTATTTTATCAAGTTATTTTTTAATTCCCTTCCTCTAAGCCTAACTTTTTATTTAATGTTCCAATAAAAAATACTAGAGGGTGTGTTTGGAAGTAATTTTGGCATGACCAAAATCACATCGCTTCTCTTTCTATTGTTCATGTTTGGTAAATTTTTATAAGGTATCACTTAGATGATGATTTTAGAAAATCGATTATACTTAAATTTATAATTTCAAAATCACTCATTCTACGTTTGTTTTCAAACACACCCATATATACCTATGAATTTAGGAAAGTTTTATGTAAAATTTTATGGTTGGTTTTTACAATATTTTTGTTTTTTTTCCTTTTTAAAATATTAAGCTTCCTTTATGAATTATTGTCAGTTATTATCGTCATTATTATCGATGTAATTACATGAATAACATGCAATGGATATTTATTTTCAAACATGGCAATAAAATAAATTAAGAAAAATCAAATTTATGTTATATTTGAAAAAATAAAAAGTTTATGACACTTTTTAAGATACATTAAATTTGTACTGCGGATAATAAAGCTTCCACTTCCAATTATAAAAAGAAAAAAAAAACAATCTTATAATTGCTGCTACTTGCTATTGATTCTTTTAAAAAAAGAAAAAAAAAACAATAAAATAAAATAAATACGAGAGGAAGTTACGATACATTGGAATTAGAAAATATTATATGTATTTTTAAAAAGTTACTACTTCTATTTTTGAAAAAATATCACATTTCTTTTATTTTTTTAGTTATTAAAAACATGATCATTTTTTGGGTTTGAATTCAAATTAAACTGTGATATATTTGTGTGAAATTTTAAACTTGCTTCTATTTTTTAAAACACATATTTTTATTTATCCATTTATGTAGCTCCATTTAAATACAAAACATGTGAAAAATTAAATAGTATTCAAGTTGACCGCCTATATGAATATTTACTCTAAAACTTTCAAATTCATCCCAATAAACTTTTAAACTTGATAAATATGGTAAATATTTTTCATGTTCAAACTTCATTAAAATTCATACCCCTAATATCTCTTTCATTAATTTTCAAAAAAATCAAAATTTGCATAAACTTAAGTTTAATTAGTGTACAATAAAGACAAATGAATAAGCCTCTTTGAACTAAAAAAAATATATATATATATATATATCTATATCTTCTGTGACGTTTAATTTTATAACAAACTTGCGTTGTTTATTCATTAAATGCATTGGAGAATACATTTTTTTAATAAGTTTTTCAAATTAAAGTTGATTATAACTTAAAATTTACCATTCTTATTAAAACTTAAAGTACTTTTGGTAAAAAAAACTTAACGTAATTTTTTTTTCCATTTTTAGTGGTAAAAGTTAGATTTTTTTTCTCTAATTATACATCTTTGGAGAAAAAAAGGTAAAAAATCATCCTAAATAGGATAATCTTTTTTCTTTCCGTCTCGGAGATTCACATTTATCATGGATGCGAAATTATCCAGCTTTTTTCTGCACTCTCTTTTTACCTTTTCCAACTCCGATTTCTCTCACGCGCCAACAATGGCGGTGGCTTCACTTCTTTCCTTTTCTCTTTAATCTTTCAAAATCTAACTATTCCTTCCGTATCTCCTGATCTTCTTAGCCCCTCCCTCTCGCCGCTCGCCGGAAGCTATAATCGGAACCGGCGGCTTCATTCTGACATTCTGCGTTTCTTCCTCCGCCGTGATCGGATGGAGTTTAAGTTCCGGGCCAGCGATCTCCGACCGCCGCCTCCGCCGCCGCGGCAGTATGGTTCTCCTTTGCCGCCGGCCGTCTACTGCTTCTCCAAGCAAGGCTTTACAGGTTTGTGTGGTTGAATATTTGCATTATGCTATTGAGTTTTTCTTTTCCTCCTGTGTGTGTACTCTGTTTGGATTCCGGGAAAATCAAGCGGATTAGAACGAACTGGAACTGGATGAGCCTGTCACCAGTTTTGCGAAGGAATCGGCGAGGTTTCCTCGGTTTTCGCCGTTTTCGAGAGTTTTTTTTTTTTAACTTTTTAGATTAGTTTTCTCTTGGAATTGAAAACTGTTTCTGAATGCATGCATTGGAACTCCGGCCTGTTTTTTACTCTTTGAATTAGAAATTTAATTTGAATTCCAACTTTGGAAGTTTAAATTTAGGGATAGAACATTGAACTTTACAGAACAAACAGATGTTTGTTACCTTGTTTTTAGTTTAGTTATGATTCTGCACTCTTTTCCGTTACGGAAAACGAAAAGTCATAGGACTTAAATTCGTAGTGGAGAAAGAATCTTGATGGTTTCAGTAATCAACCAACTTCTGCATCCGTTTCAGATTTCTCTTCATTCTCCTCAATTTTCTCCAATTTATCGACGGTTTTGACAGATCCCTGTCTCAGACAAAACGTAACGAGGAAGCCGTTCGATATCAATGAGGCGATGCACTGCGAGATCGAGTTGATGCGATTGAGGGAAGAGAAATTGCTGGTGGAAGTTGAGAGGCAGCGATTTCTGAAAGAGGAAGCGAGGAGAGAACTGATGTTGGCCGAACAAGAGCTGGCGATTCGAGGAGCTGCGCAGGCGGCGGGCTATTCTTTCCGTGAGCAGCGATGGGGAACGTCGTTCAGCGCCGCGGCGCCGGTGGTACGATCGCATGAATGGCAGCATATGGAGCAACTGAAAAGTTCCGACCGCCGCGGGTTTCGTGCAGTAGCCGTACCCTTACTCCCGCCGCCGCCTCCGCCGCGGCTTCCGCCGTTTACGGCCGATGACAAGAAGCCGCAGCGCCAACTTCAAGTACAGGCTGAAAAAAGTGAACTGATTATACTGGTTAGCTTCTATCTCTACCATCGACAGTATTGTTTTTTTAGGGTTTCGATCTTATTTTTGTCCTTGATTTCATATTTTGTTTTGTTTTTGCACTAACTTATTTCTAAAAAAAAAAGAACTATTTTAAAAATTCCTAGTAATTTAAAGAAACCTCTAAATGCTTTTTGATCAAGGTGATTATATGAATGAATAAATGGTTGGGTCTATCATCTATGTGGGAAAATTTCTAGAACTTTTTCTATTCATGGGTTGCCATATAAGTAGTATTTAAGGATGGTGTGAGGTCATGCAATATAATTATGTCACAAAAATTTTACAACTTTTCATTTTTTTAAAATGTTATAATGTAAGTTTAAACCTTTTTTTGATGTATTTTAGAGTGTGACTTTGATTTTAGATTATAGTATTTTTGTAAAAATTTGAACTCTATGCTACATCTTAAAATATTTATCTATTGTTTTGATATTTGACACTTTTTAAAAAAAAGTCTCTGGTGTTGTATTCCTCTTAGTTGTCAAATATTTAAGAACTAGATACGAAAAGTTATGGTGTATATACACGGGTTGGAGCCAAAGAAGCCTTCTTGATTCGTCTTAGATTAAAAAAATTATATAAAAACGTTAAAGTTCTCAAAATTTATCTAATTTGTCTTTGTATATTTTTAGAATGTAGACGTACGAAAAATTAAATATAAAAATTTTGTCCCCCAGAAAATTTCTAGCTCACCGCTACTTATACATACAAAAAGTCTGCTATAATTACTTTGTATCTAGTGTACGTCTATATATATTGTGAAGCTCTCTTTCAAATTACTGTATTCCATTCATGATATTTGCAAAAACAATTCTTTATGGATTTGAGAATTCTGCTGCAGGAGAAACCTGACCCAGAACTATTTAGGGAAAAGCGGAAGGCCGAGGCGCCATTGGCATTGGACATTGACGACGTTCAACCTTCGGGTGTGAAGAAAAATCCCAAGGATGAGTGGAGCTGTGCGCTTTGTCGAGTTACCGTTTCGAGTGAAAGGACTTTCGATCAACACCTTCAGGGCAAGAAGCACCAGCGCAAAGAAGCAGGGTTGAGAGCCCAGAAGGCGAGCAACGTTTCGCAAGCTGCACCCATGCCAGTACTGAAGAAACGGAGAAAGATGAGTGGCTCTGCAGGTGCAGAAAAGGAGCTGAAATCATCTCAATGTGAGAAAACTGGAAATAAGGAGTTTAAGTTTTGGTGTAAAATATGTAAAGTTGGTGCTCAAGCTACAGAGGTGATGGAGGCTCATCTGAATGGGAAGAGGCACAAGGCAAGAAATTTGTCAGCCATTGCAGCTGCAGCAGTTACACCATCAATGGAAGATTAAGAAGAAAGCTCAGAATGCTGTTGATGTAGATACTGGACAGACGGGGAACGATCAACGGGCAAATGTCGCTCTTCGATCAGGCGAATATAAAGGTCAGTGAGAATGGCACAAAAAAGAAAGAAGGGCTTTGATTATGATGTTCTCACTTGTGGGGGACTGTTTTGCTAATGTGTTGATAAAAATAGGTAGAGCTTTATAACCTAACGTAACCATCCCGAGTAGTCTCGAGTAGTTAGCCGAGTTTAGAATGACTTTTTGAATGGCATCGAGTACTTCTAAAAGTGATTTTGAAAACTCTAAAAATCACTTAAAAGGGAGTATAGGAAAAGGGCTTACCACAACACTATTCTGAAAAGTCTTGATACTCTTTCTCTCTTTCCTTTGTTTAATCTCAAGTAATTCATCATTTTATTTAGTTTGTAATTTTGATGTCGTAATATTAATTTAATAATAGTACATCCTTTACTTCGAGCTTTTATAATTGAAGAGTGGGCAGGCAGATATTCAAAGGATAGAGGTTCATAGACCATAGAATAATTATGAATATAATATATATCTTATGTCTGTCTTTTTTCTTTTCTTTTTTTTAAGTACAAAATCTCCGACTTAAAAAAAAAAAGAATTATATTTATGTATTGCTGTTTGCATTCTAGTTTGTATTTTTGGGTTTCGAAAATGGTTTTTGTTTGTATGAATCTTAGAAAAGAAGGTTCGAGATTCATAGTTTGCAGTTCTACATCGTCGATGTTGCTCTCATAATATTTAATACCACATAAGATGATTGTAGTCATTCTCATTCTTATGTTTTGTAAGACATCAATTTTGTGTGAAAATATTCATTTTTTCTCCAATTTATTATTTTCTCCCCCCTTTCTCTCTCCTCTTTCCTCTCTCACATCGTTACAAATTTTTTTGAAATTCAATCAACTTTCTCTCTCTTTTTGCTATCTTCCTCCTTATCACTCCTAAGCCACTTCCTCCCATTTCCATTCTTTTTTCTTCCACCTTCTCTGAAAAAACGAGCGACAAGCTCTATTTACAATTTTTTTCTGATGAGAGACATACGAGGACAGGAGCGATAACCTTTTTTTTATTGTGTTCTGTTTTTTTTTTTATTTATGTGGGGGGTTTGCTTGAACTCTTTGTTCTTGGTGTTCTTTATTCAGTTTTTATCTCTCTTTCAGGTGTGATCCGTCGGAGGAGATTAGCGACTAATTTTAGTAATTCGACATTCTTGAATAAAGTGGATCTATTTGTATTTGATTTCAATGTAAAAATAAAAAGTTCAATTACAAATTTAGTTCTTCAATTTTCACAAAGTTGAATGGGTATTGGACAATGTCCACAGGTTTATTTCTATAGTTTTGATAAAATATAAAAAATGTAAAATGATTATTTGTTAATTAAATATTTATAATAGATTTTTTTGTTAATTTTTCAAAAATATCTATCGGCTTGGATCTTTCATCTGACCCAAAAATTAAAAAGTAAAAGATAAAATAGAAAATAAAAACAGAAATAAAAGAATGAATAAAAAATATTTAATAAATATTTAATATTTAAATGTTAGGCTACTTTAGACTTTAGTTGGAAGTGGATGTCTTTGTCAGCTGTGCTTTGTCTCAGCCTTTATTCTTTAAAGCCTAATTCCTTTGTCGGTCGCCCTCTCCTTTCAAGCTTAGCTTATGAAATTCATATATATACACATACATATTAAACATATATATATATATATGTATAGAATTTAGAAGGTAGTATTAGAAACGTATGAACGGAGTAGAGATTTTAACCTTAAACTTATAGATAAAGGTAATTGATATTTTAATTTTCAAACATTTTTCTCGAGCCTATAGTTAGTTACCTACAAAGTTCGAAAAAGTCAAATTTTTGACAATTTCATCCTACGTGATTAAGTTGAAAAAACTTCTAGCTAGATTATCCACATATAAATTGAATTGTTCATGGACTCTCCCCTCACCCTCCCGTTTAACTTATGACATTATCGACTTACTTTTCAACTTAAATGATTTCATAACTCAAAAGAAAGACTCCTCCTTCGAGATCAAGCAGTGAAAATGCAAAAGAGAATAGCAAAGATTTTCCAACCCAAAACATGTTATTGACTCATAAAGAATCTATTTCTCGTTATAGAATAGTTAAGAGGTTGTCTAGAAAATATATCCAATTTTCTTTTGGTGGCAACATGCATATGAACCGCACCATGGTGTCAAATAAAGACATTCCATAAAGAAAAAGATTACAATATCAATCTCATCAATTTTACAGGTAGCCAAATCCGATCAATCAAATAGTTAGAAATATAGTACATCTAAGCAAATACATAATGAGATATATCCATTGACAAGAAAAAGAAAAAAAAAAGTGAATCATGATATGGATTGAGAGAGAAAATGTATGTTTAAACCTCTAACCTATACTTCCGAAGAAGATAATACTGTTTGAACCTCCAACCTATTGAAGATAATGATTTAGAGAGAAAATGGTACCTCCGATCTTAAAAAGATATACTATTTGAACCTCTTACCTAAAGAAAATATCGAGAGAGAGAGAGAGATTTTTGCAATTGATTAATAGAGGAAAGAAAGGCTAAAAGCAAGGAAGGCAGTCGACAACATCATCTGCAAAACGGCATAGCGCACACACAGAGCAACAGAAACAGCATCATCAATCTCTCTCTCTCTCTCTCTCCAATGGCCCCAGTTGGACCAAATTTTATGCGCAACAAATTCCAAAAACAAAACACTGAAAATGGGTGCAGATTTCTTCAAATCCCCATTTTTCTTCTCTCTCTCATCAAACCCAATTTGCGAGAATTGCCCACTCATTTTTCCCTTTTGGGCCTCTTCTTAGTTGTCTTCTAGGTCACACCATCATCACCATCCAACAATCTCTCCATTCTCTCTTCTGGGTCCTTCTGCGATCGCCGCCCCATTTTCCCCTTCTTCCGTTTCCATTTCCGATGAAGAAAGCTCGGAAACCGGCGGCCATGGATTTCGACGCCTATGCTCTATTCGAGACCCCCATGATCGGGACCAAGCACCACCGTCTCTTGCAGGATTACGAGGACCTGGAGAATGTAATTTGTTCAATTCATGAATCTTTTTTAAATCTGCTCAATCGTGTGTTTGATTTTATATGGTTATTTGTTGACTGGGGATTTACGAGATTGTATTTGTCTGTATTTTGGTTCTAGACAAGATGGAGATCTCTCCAGGCCCCTTCCTATTGTTTGAATTTTTGTCTCTGTTTGGTTGCTGAGAAAATTTTGAATAGATTTTGGGATGTTTTCAATCTCTTTTGCCTTTACGTGTGAATCGAGATACCAAACATGTTCTAGTTCTAGGGTTATAGGGTTAGTTTTTTAGCTCATTGTCCCATGATGTTTTTAATCTCTTATTATTTTTTATCATGTGGGAGTTTGAATTAATTCCAGAAAGGGTTGTATTTAACTACAAAGTTTATGTTGTACACTGCAGAAGGTTTCGATCTCTTTTTCCCCCTAGTATGAGTTCAAACAACTTTTCATGATCTCGTGTTCAAATCATGGTGGCTTGTTACTTAGGATCCTTAAAAAATGTTACATAATCCTCTGGTGAAATTAGTTAAGGGCATGTAAGTTGACTTGGATGTGCTAGTTATCATAACATTGGCATAGATGTGATCCAGACACTCATAGATATCGAAAATAGAACTCGACCAATTGAAAGATTTTCATTTCAGGCAACAGAAGTCATGAAAGAAGAGTTGCTGATTGCAAAGCGGAAAAAGTCGACCCTCTTGGCTGAAGTTCGGTATGGTCTAAAACGATTCTTCTCCTCCCCCTCTATTTGTGAATTTCCAACAGGACTTTGTAAAAGTTGTAAACTGAGCAGCCATGATTGTCTCTTCACTTGCAGATTTTTGAGGCATAGATATGAGTTCTTGAAGAACCAATCTCTGAACTCCCAGCCAAAGCATGGTCTCGAGCCACCACAAAACCATGAAATCCGACCTCCTAACGCTAAGAAAGAAAAGAGTTCTCAAAAAAGGGAAGCTTCTTTGAAACTCCTTGCTGAGGCTCAGGCTCAAGATTTAAATCAGAGGGGAGGAATCTATGATGGGATGGAAGCTGCCTCTCGAAAATCTCGGTTGGTTTTTCACATGAACCAGAAGCCAAGAATGTGTAGCGACAACGAAGTCTCTATGCACAATTCTTCTCCGATTTTCAACCATAAAGAGATACTATACAGAGTACACGAAGCTGCTGCCGACCGAAACATGACTCCGGTTTTCGACCTAAACCAGATCTCGGTAAACATCGCTTTCATTCTCATTTCTTATATAGAAAAAAGACGTTTGAGTTTACTTCTCTCAGTCCTTTAACATCCATTTCTTGCTTCAGAGAGAGGAAGAAGAATTGCAGGCTGGTTTCGAACCACCGAGAATGGAGGAGGGGCCGAAGAATAGCTTTCTAAGAAGCGAAAACGACGGGAAGAACAGTGACCTGATGATATCACCGATGTGTAGGAATGTTGGCAGTGGCTCAAACAGAGCAGGAAAAAGGAAGATCTCATGGCAAGATCAAGTAGCTTTAAGAGCATGAAATTGTCTCTTATTGAAAGTGCCATTCAAGATCTTTCATATGCATAGGTTACAAAACTTGGCTTCCTTGAAATTGAAATTCCATTATCATCCATCATTATTATTTTTTAATTGTGAATGTTCGGGTTAGTTCATCTATGCTTCAATAAAGCATAATCTTAACCTGGAGAGAATTGTCTGATTCTATTATATTTTGGTAATGGAAAGTCGTAGGATATATGATATTTTGAGTAGGCAACCATGGTTCAAATATGTGATCAATCTATGACGGCTAATTCTAGATAAAACATATTTATTTGAAAACAATTTTCAATTCTTATTATGAGGCCAACTTGAACATAATACGAGTTCCAATTCTTATTCTTATCCCTACTTGATGTACTAAAAAAAGA